GAGTCTCTATAAATATAATATTTAAGATAATATCCTTCCTTTATCGAATAATAAAGCAGCGAATGCTGATAATTTAATAATACTCTAATTTTAAGCTGTTTATCAGAGATTATTTGCAAGACTCTCACGAACTAACGGGAATGCCCATCGAAATTATTTCTATGAAAATCTAATCGAACATAATGATGGAAGTAACTGAAACAATAATCATAATCCGCAAATATAGTTTGAAATGGGAAAATATACATATCGCGTGATACCGATGAAAGATGACGATCATCGATTCGACGAGTAGCACGAACATATGGCATGTGTGTATAATAACATTGATGAAAGCAGAAATGAGATGGTGCATGCGTAAGTCCAATAGAAATCCGTTTTGGCCACGACATAGCCGGAATGATTACACGTGGCCATTTGCTGTCTACGTGATTATAAGAAGCGGCTACAAAGTTGCGTACGCGTTTCATTTACGTTTCATCGTAAAACGACGGACGAGGTCGAGACTTACATTTCTGAAGTATCGACTTTTACCCTAGAAACAGACCGCGTTTATTATTACTTAAAGTTGTACGAGTCTATAGACATTTCTCTCACCCTCTTCAAGCTATTTTAAATATTTAAGATATTTTAAGATATATGTTGAATAGATATGTTGAATATCGCGATATTGCGATAGATAGTGCGCGAATATTATCGCGATATCGTAAGCTATTAGCAATCTCTTTGCATTTTTAATAAAACGAAACACTGTACTGCTAGCAATGTCCACGCCGTTGTTAATAAAAATTTAAATCTTCTTTAGAATAATATAAAAACTGTCTTATTTTGCTATTATTTAAATAATTCTTAATTTATAAGTCTAATTTTTATTTTTATATAACAATAAATTGAAAATAAAAGTCAATCCATTAATTAGAAAATAAAGATAGAATTAGAGACAGTGTAGGTTTTTTTCTGGACACTACATCTATTTTTATAAATAGTAGAATAAATAAAAGTAGACGAAGATGACCGATTTTATGAAATTTAAACAGAAAGCGTTAAAATATTTTTGATAATATGATATGTTAAAAGACAACAAGAAAAATTTTTAACTTTATACATAATATTTAATATTTAACATAATTATTAATTATATATATGTTATGTCAATAATATGTTTACTTTTTTGTTATTTTTTTAATACTTTTAACAGTATTATGAACATTAATTACAAAATGAATGACTGAATAGTAAATATAGTCATTTAATTCCACATCTGTAATCTGTCGCAATCACTCCTCTACTTTCGGATTCTAGGATTTTTAATATTCTCGGAATTTTGAGAACTTTTTATTGTTTCAAGTGCATATACTCGTATATAGGTCCTTAACAATGTCTAATCCAACATCTCGTAAAATTTTTTATCTTGCAATCTTTATTCTCTCGTTAAAGAAAGAAAAAGAACAGTATTTCTGACTTTGTGCCCAAAAGTTTTCCTCAAAAGCAGTAAAAGGACTTACTTCTATTCAGATAATCCTTCGCATACCAATCCTTATCACGTTTTCATATTTTTATAAGTAATCGTAGATGCCTTCGTTTGAAAAATCGCATTAGTCGCTGCTTTTGATGCTTTGGAGATCGCATTGGAGACGCCTCGTGTTATTGATTTTCATTATTTTAACAAAGGTCTTCCGTTCTGAAATGAAATCCTTGAGTTAAATTTCTCACCAGTAATTCGTAGCAAACGTTCCGATTCAGTATACTACTGTAACATTTATTGTTAATTGTATATTGTTTAAATAAAAATAAAATAACTTAATTGAGAGGACAGTTTTTCTGTTTACTCCCCTTAAAATTATGATGTTGCGTAAAAGATATAAAATTATTTAGAAATTTTGAAAAATTCTTAAATTTATATTTAAAAAAATTACTTAAAAAATTCTGAGAAAAAAGGTCACAAGTGGACATCGAAATATTCTTTCGTATTGAGAGGTGCATAATTTACAAGCACATTTAGAAATATTTAATGCTAGAAGTTACAGTTCTCTCTATATGCAGAGTTACTACTTTCGAAAAGTACGATATGGTATTTTATAAATAATTAACGATCTAGATAGAGACATATATGAAATCAATCTCTTCTTTGCAGAATGTTAACAATAATTAGTTCCGTAACGAAGTCGCATCGACACTCGCAAATATTAATAGATAATCACGATCAAGTTCTTTCATGAGTGAACTGTTATAATATAGATTAGAAATCGATCGGCTTTGATAGAAATTGCGGAATTCCTTTGCGAATACTCGCTTCGGACCCGCGACCGACTTCGTTATCGTGAGCGCATTAATGTCGTGGTATTGTCTGTACATATCTTTAATGCTTTAATATAAGATCGTAAGTCCAGGGTTAGTCCTCGGCGAAGGTCGAGTCGAATCTTAAATAAAGTATGAACGCTCTGCGAAATATCCATATGTTATAGCTATCGGATAATACGGTACGCACAATCGCGTGGGTTACGTCGCATGAGGGTCTTTTACCTTTTACCACCAGTGTTTCGATTCAAGGCTGAGTCAATACATTGTACCTCGCTTATATCACTTCTCGTTTAAAAACAAAATTCGGAGCGTATATATATATATATAAATTTTATCAGAGAAACGCAAGTGTCTTGCCTAAAGATGTATATTATACGTGTTTTATAATAAAATTAAAAAAATTAGATTTTTCTATATTATATTTGAAAGTGATATAAAAAGTTTGGCAATTAAGAACCTGAATAAAAAATTATCTCAATATATAAAAATATGTTTTTAAAAATAAATATAATAAAATAAGAAAATTGTTATTTAAACTACAAAAATTATATTAAATACAAAAAATTTTGGATTTATTGCATATGTATAACTTTAATTTTTATCTGATGTACACCTGATGTATTCTTAATAAACATAAGGAAGTCAATTTTTAAAAAATCTACTTTAGCAGTTTATATGAAATAAGAATATAAAATTGGAACACAATATAATATGTACGTATTTAAGAGAAAGAATTGAATTATAAGCAATTGAGATAAATAAAATAAGATTGATAATTGAGACTATGCAAGTGACTAATTAATAATTGTCTTAAGAGAGTATTTTAGTGTGATTACTCATTTTTAAGGTGAATTTTGGGAATTACATTTTTAAAAACGGTTAAACCTACAGAGCTAATATTTTGCATTCACATTCATTCGTATTTGACGTAACACTCTTAACTTCTCAAATTTTTGCAAAGCTTTTTATTATATATTATACAAGAATGTGAATAAACGCGCAGGTCATGTCACGTAAAATCATTATTATCGGGCGCAGTGATTGCCTCGTCGTTTGAAATAGAAATTTTTTTTGTTTTATTCTTTACGATCGTTATCGTTCGGCCTATTAATAAATCATAGGAAGAAAAGTCAATAAAATGGCAGCGCTTAAAAGAAAATACTTCGATTTTTACTGAAAAAAAAAAGTTTACTTCTTGTGGCACGGAAAAATACTAATTTTAAAAATATCAAAACACACATACACACACAACACACACACACACACACACACATTAGAAGGCCGAATGATAGCCTGAT